ATATATAAATATATATTATTAATACAATAGTATAAATACAATATATATACTACTATAAATAGTAAATATTTATTGCTAATAAAATACAAAATTTTAAATAATAATAAAATATATTATTATATAATATTAATAAAATTAGATTATTGTATCATATTATATTAGGATTATTAGCTATGAAATATTTGACTACTCGTATTATTTTCACATCAAAATCAGACATTTCATATTTAATGACCCTAATATTAGATATTAAAACAAAAGTAAATATACGAAATGATTTCTTTTCAGAAAATTACCTGCGTGAACTTTAAATAAGGCCCAACCCCATAGTTAATAGTTAATACAACTTTCTATACGTCTATCTATAAACTTTTATACGTATATGAATTATTACAAAATGGTAAGAAAAGTTCATAAGTAAAATACATGTATAATGTATACATGTATATACACTATTTATATAACATACATATGTATATTGAATTTTTTTTGTCTACTTACACACAGTTACATACAGGTGGTACGTAGAAGCAAAAGTTCACAAGTTAAATGTTTCTAGGATCGTGTTATAGCAACTTATGTATTATCTGAAATAAAAGGGTACTAATCGAAGGGTGGTTGACCCTTTTTCATTATTTTCAATTTTTCTCAAATGATTTTAACTAATTTATATATACCAATATTTTATATTTTGTTATTCTTTGTATTTATTAAATTAATAAATACAAATAATTATAATTTATAATATTAATTTGATATTAATAAATTATATAATTAACAATATTATTAATATTATTCATTATGATTATTATTGTCGCATTAGGGATTTGGTATTTGGGGTAATAAACTTACGAGTTCCTAACGCCAATTAATAATAATAATAATAATAATAATAATAATAATAATAATAATAATAATAATATATTATTAATAAATTATATATAATTAATATATTAAATTATAATAGAAAAATTACAATAAATAATAAACTATAAACTAAATTATAATATATTAAAATAAATAAATTAAAAAATATATAATCAAATACTAAAATAAATAAAATAAATATAATATAATATATTATAATATTATTATATAATATAAATATTAAATATTAATTAATATATATATATAAATACATCCTATCTTACCTATGTATAGGTGTATATATACATACTTTTATGGTAATCGATTCCTTTTTATCATTTTTTTTGTTGTTTGCTGTGTGTCCTGCTAACTTTGTTTCGTCTCGTCTCGTCTCGTCTCGTATATCATGTCTCTCATTGGTTAGAAAAGATGTGGAATAAAATAATGTAGGACACAGAAGAAGAAGCGGAGGCGTGTCCAATGACGTCGTGTTATTGTTCGAGAAGAACGAAGAAAGAAAAAAAGAAAAAAGCAAGAAAAGGAAAAACAGAGAAAGAGATACCCGTTGCTTGGAAGATCGGACGACCGTCGTCGTAGTTGTGTTGGAGGTCAACATCGGTTGTTGCCCTGAGGGTCGATCAGTCCCCAGAACTATACGATACTCCTCTCTCTCTCTCTCTCTCTCTTTTTTTTTTATTTTTTTTTTTATTCTTCTTCTTCATTTTTATTTTATTGTCATAAACGTTTAAGTATCGTTTAATCGTTAACTATGATTTTAATTAATATGTCATTAGTATTTTTGTTTTTGTTTCAAGTATGTAAATATATATATATAGTATATAGTATATATATATACTACGATACTAGTACTACATACTAGTACTATATACTAGTACTATATACTAGTATGTAGTACTATATAGTGTATATATATATATATATATATTAATAATAAAATTATTTAATATATTATATTATATTTATTTTATTTATTTTAGTATTTTTGATTATTTTATAATTTATTTATTTTAATATATTATAATTTATTTAATATTTATATTATATAGTAATATTTTTAATAATATATATATATATATTATTTTATATATATATATATTATATATAATATAAATATTATAATTATATATTATAATAAATATTAATAAAATTTATTTTAAATTAAAAAAAATTAATAAAAATTAAAAATTATAATAAATTATAATAAAATATAATATATATTATATTTATATATAATATATATATATATATATAT